TGCACAGTTAAGGCTGCCCATGGAACTTTAACTCTCCCTTCTTGCAGCAATGCCCCAGTAGGTCTCGTTAACACACATATCTTTGCTCTGCCAGTGCCAGAGTTGATGAAATGTACAAGCTCTTCACCTCCTCTTACAACCAATTCACTCTCACCCACAGGATTCCATCTAACACTTTTAAAGGACAAAAAACTAACAAGAAAAAAAAAAGGTTGCCCATGCCACATCCTCTCTGGTCCCCTGGAAATGGCAGTAGCCAATGGGAATTATTTGCATACATTCCAGGTACAATCAGTGTGTCAGACATTAGGTGTACCCTCCCTAAAGGGTGAAGGCAGTAGTTGGGCCCTGTTGGTAAAGGTGGGTTTGTGATATAAGGACATGTGTGGACTATCTTGAGGTGTGTGACAGAGCTGTGATTATGCTCTGAGGAGATCTCTGTTTTGTAGCCTTCAGTGTATATGAGCAAAGAGAAGAGCTGCATGTGCACCTTTGGGATCCACTATGCATCCTTTAAATGCAGAATTATGTAGGTTTGTCAGTAGCAAGGCATAGGGTTTTTATTACAAGAATTGTTGTCAGCAGTGAGGTGGAATATGAGAAGATTTTAATGTTATGATGGTATAGTGAAAGTGTAGGTTGAGAAAGTATCCTGTGAATAAGTGTAAGGAGGTTGCAAAAGGCTGTGAGGTGGTTCTTAAATTGTACACGTGTGGTATTCTTTCTGCGGAGTTGGTTAAGTGTCTGTGTGAGGTCTGGATCTGGAACATCCTGAATCTTAAACCAGGTCTACGCTACACACCTATATTGGTATAACTACACCACTCAGGGGTGTGAAAAATCGACATCCCTCAGCAACGTCGTTATACTGACCTAACTCCTTGTGTAGACAGTGCTATGTCAACAGGATAGCTTCTCCTGTCAATATAGCTACCACCTCTCGGGGAGGAGGGGATTAATTAAAGTGCTGCAGCCACGCAGCTATAGTGCTATATGGCCTTGGCTACACTTGCAAGTTACAGCGCTGTAAAGCCTCCCCCAGCGCTGTAACTCACTCCCTGTCCACACTGGCAGGGCACTTACAGCGCTGTATCTCCCTGGGTACACCGCTGCAGGTACTCCACATCTCCGAGAGGAATAACAGCTGCAGCGGAGTGGCTACGACTCACGGGTGTGAGTGTAAATGCTTGCAGCGCTGTACTAATCACCTTGTCAAGTGGCCAATCCTCTCCATTGTTGTGAACGGCTGCAGGAATGCGGAAGTGCCGGTTTCAAAGTTCCTACCACAGAGAAAAGCAAACAGTTTGCAGCTTGCTTTGAGTGAGTAAATGAATGAGCAGGGGGCCGGGAGTTTGGAACTTGCAAAATAGAGAGCTGACATTCTCCAAAAAGCACTCTCTCTCCCTGTCACAATCCACTCCACCCCCCCATTTTGAAAAGCACGTTGCAGCCACATGAATGCTGGGATAGCTGCCCATAATGCACTGCTCCCAACACAGCTGCAAATGTTGCAAGTGTGGCCACACCACTGCGCTGGCAGTGTGGACAGACTGCAGTGCTTTTCCCTACTCAGCTGTATGAAGACAGGTTTACCTCACAGCGCTGTACAGCTGCAAGTGTAGCTAAGGCCTATGTGAAGACAAGCCTTTCTAGTGCCAAGGGCTAATGCTACTTGTGTCTATGTGCATACTGAGGCACTGCTTAAAGACAGAGGGAAGGTGGCATGGGCAACCTTTCTCCCCCACTCCCTTTTTATCCTTTAACAGTGTTAGATGGAATCCTGTGGGTGAGAGTGAATGGGTTGTAAGAAGCTGAAACATACATGCTCTTCACCAACTGTTGAAATTGTTCTTAAATACTATTCACAATTTGGGACACCAAAAACTTAGTAGGTGCCATGCATTACCAAAGGAATTGACTGAGACCATTTTGACCCACATCACAGCAACAGTTTGATCTCTAGCTCTGCACACACAAAAAACACCACCCTAGAATTAAAAAACAAACAAACAAAAACCAACCGAACAGCTATTTTATTCTGGGATTATATCTCCAGAAACCTTGGCTCAAATGACCTCCAATTTGGGTCACTAATCCTACTCTGCATTCCCATGAGGCCCAGCAAATTTTTTTAAAAAACCATGAAAACAGGGCTTTGGAGCGGAGCCTGGAGCTGGAGCATGGAGCAGTGGAGCTGCAGGTTTCTACCCGAAGCGGAGCCAGAGAAGTCACCATTGGTGCTGGAGCGGAGCAATTCAAAAATTTGATTGCTCTAAATCCAAAGCACTTAGAAGTGTCATCCTTTACACATCCATCTGCAGCATATAAGGCTTTGAAAGGTGTGAATAAGAACACGCCATGGAGATGAATACAACCTGAACCAATAACTCAGGCTTTGTCTACACCGGAACTTCGTCAGCAAAACTTTTTGTCGTTTGGGTGGAGTGTTTTTTTAATACCCCGAATGACAAAAGTTTTACCGACGAAAAGCACCGGTGTGAACAGCATGCTGTCGGCAGGAGCGCTCTCCTGCCGACAAAGTGGCTGCTGCTCATAGGGGGTGGAATTTTTCTGTCGGCAGGAGAGCTCGCTCCTGCCAACAAACAGCAGCTACACTGCACACCTTTTAGTGGCACAGCCGTGTTGCTAAAATCTGTATAGTGTAGACAGCCTCAGACATGAGAACTACACCATTTATCCCAGTGGTTAGTGAAAGTATAGGTTCACATGTCCCTCCTAAGTGTTTCAGAACCTGTGATATGCATTGAGTATGCCCATTCTCAGCTCCCAACACAAAGAGCAAGGATTTCCCTATATCCTGGCTCACATGGGGGCAGGAAGGAGATCAGATTCTCCCAAAAAGTCAAGCTCCCTCCATCCCCCAAAACTGGCTCACATGGAGCAGGATAGGGAGGGGGGTGTCCAACCTCTGTATATGGGCATGGGCCCTGCAGATCTTGGCATACACAGACAGCAAAGAAAGGGGCTCAGCCACCCCAAGAGGAGCAAGCCCCCTATATCCCAGCTTATATGAGGGGGCAGAGAGGGTGGCTCAGACCCCCACAGAGGGGCAAGAGGTCTCCAGATATAGGCACACACAGAAGGGGAGAATGTGGGGCTGACAGGTACCCCGGCCTCTATTCTACACCAATCCTGCTGACACTCATCTCCATGTCCCCCTTCCCAGTATCCCATCCCTCCAAATCCCATAATCCCCAAGCCTCCCTCACTGCTCCTCTACTCCTCACCACTACTTATCCCCCTCCATTTGCTAGAGATCCAAACCTCTTTCCCCCTATTCCTCACTCCTCCATCCCCTAATACCCCTCCAGGGAAGCATTCGTGGCTATTTTTTTCCTCCTAAAGACTTTGATTATACCCCCCAAAAAATGAAATTGCCACCACAATTATACCACTCACAAGTTACACCAACCTTCAACCACTTAACCCATATACTCCTTTTACCTTACATGGGGACTTGTGATTAACTTATCCTGTTATTAGACAAGGTGGGTGAAGTAATATCTTTGATTTGCTCGACTTCTGTTGGTGAGAGACAAACTTTCAAGCTACACAGAAGTCTGAGGAAGAGCTCAAAAGCTTGTCTCTCTCACCAACAGAAGTTGGTCTAATCGAAGATATTACCTCACCCACCTTGTCTTTCTAATATCCTGGGACCTACACAACTACAACATCACTGCAAAGGAAGTTATCCTTAGTTACGTTAATTGAAGAGTTACTTCACAGCCAGTCTCAAAGAGGTCTGTGATTCATTCAGTCATTAGTACCTCTCGATTTAACAGCACAAGGCAAAATAAATCATTGGGGGCGGGGGTTGTAACATTGTAACCCTTGCCCAAATGATCCCAAATTTGGATTAATAATGCTACTTTGCACCCCCATGAGGCACATCAAATTTCAAAGAAATATGAGTAACCTGTTGGATTTCAGACCACTTTATATGCTGCAAAACTCAATGCTTGTAAATAGTGCCATTTTTCTGTATTGATGCATGCACACTGTCCTCAATTTGGGTTCCCCACAGACTTAGTAGATACCATGCACTAACTTGGGGAAAACTCAGTAGATTGAGACCATTTTGAGCTGCATCGCATCAATAGTTTCATCTCTAGATCCAAGCCAAAAAAAAAAAAGCCACCTAGAAACTCTGAAAAACAGTTACTTTTTTCTAGGCTTATATGGCCACAACCCCTACTTCAGCTGACCCCCAAAATTTGAGTCACTAACGCTACCCTGCACTCTCCTCAAGCACAGCAAGTTCCAAAAAAATCCAGCTAAATCCGTCAATTTGAGGGTATTTGGAGAGATCAAACAGAAGTCATAAAGCAACTTTAACTATAGTGGCACTGCCGGGGCACCAAAACAAGTGTCATACTATGGATATTGCTTCCGCCCCCCCGTTTCCTGCTCCCCACTACAAGCCATTTCAGGTGCACTCCCTCCCTCGCACAATACCAGGGTTTCTGCAGCTGGCCCGTTTGTGCTCCCCGGTGCTGGGGACCGCGAATTAGCGCCTCACAGCGCTGTGCTGGGGACCGGGGTCGCTGTTCTGCACCGGCGGCATTCACCGGCCCTGACATGGCGGCGGGTGGGTGTCAACCGCGGCCGGAGGGGAGGGGAGGGGAGGCAGCGGCTCGGCCAGGGCCGGTCGGGACGGAGCAGCCTGGACACCCAGCGCGGCGTGCAACCTTTGACACACGGGAGAGCGGCGGCCCGACGTCGGGCTTCGCACGGGCACCCAAGCGCTGGACCCGGCCTTAGGGCAGAACGGGATCCCGAAATCCCCCCAAAGGACGCACGTGAGCCCTCAGGGGGCGGAGGAGCGCGACGGGCCCCGCGGGGGAGGAGCCCGCCCCCCTCACACTCGGGGAGAGGCGCGCGCCCCGCCACCACCCCTTGCCGGCCCCCATGGCGGGTGGGGGCAGAGGACAACCCCGGCTGATGCTGCGCCGGGTCAGCAACAGCCCCCCAGGACTCACCGGCCGGAGCGACAGCAGCGCCCTCCCCCTTCCTCTGCTCAGCGCCGCGGCGTCACTACGTCATCCTCCCTGCACGTTGAGCTGCCCTAGCAACGACAGACGTGCCTCTACGTGCTGACGTACATAGCAACAAGGGGGCGGGGTGGCTGGCTCTATAGGAGAGGTGGGCAAACAGTGGATTGCGGGACCGTCCTGTCGGTTCTCGAGCTCCCGGCCGGGGAGGCTAGTCCCGGGCTCCTCCCTCGCAGCCACGCCGCCAGCGCTCTGGGTGGCCGAGCTGCGCGCTCCTGGCTCCGGCCGGGCGGCGGCCAGACATGCAGCTCTGAGCGGCAAGGTAAGGGGGCCAGGGCTGGGAGGTTGGATAAGGGGCAGGGGATCCCCGGGGCAGTCAGAGGACAGGGGGCGGTTGGATGGGGTAGAGGTAGGGGATGGGGAACGGGGGGGTTGGATAAGTGTGGGAGTCCCTGGGGGGCCTGTCAGGGGGCGTGGGTGTGGCTAGGGGGCGGGGCAGTCAGGGGACAGGGGCGGTTGGATAGGGGGTGGGGTCCCGGGAGCGGTTAAGGGACAAGGAACGGGGGGGTTGGATGGGTCGGGGGTTCTGAGGGGGGCAGTCAGGGCGTGGGAAGTGGGAGGGGGCAGGGCCAGGCTGTTTGGGGAGGTGCAGCCTTCCCTACCCAGCCCTCCATACAGTTTTGCAACCCCAATGTGGCCCTCGGGCCAAAAAGTTTGCCCACCCCTGCTCTATAGTCATGACCTCCGGACATCCCAGCCTTGGGAGCTGTGTGCAAGCGCTGCGGGCCCGTTCCCATCGGCCCTGGTGCCCCACTGGAGTCAGTAACAACCTGCGTGATTTAGTCTGGAGCCACGCAGCACGTGGAAATGGCTGAGCACCCCTCGCTCTCTGGTACCCAACCCACATGGGGCAGGGGTGTAATGAGTGAGACTGTGGAGACAGTGGGGCCTTCTCCTCAGCCCCGACCCCCCAGCTGGGTAGGAACTCGCTTCTGTGGGGTCAGGGCTCTCCCGGTGACCCCCTACGTGGTGCTTAGGGGCAGGCTGTATAAGCACCTGAGGTGCCTCTCACTGCTTCCCTCGTTGTCCCACCCTTCCCAAGGTGCCAAGATAACCCCCACCCCACCCGTTTTCAGGGGAGCACCAGAAGGACAGTTATCGGGCTGGGTAAATCGGGCTGAGATAGCAACAAAAATGACAGTCATTTCTGGGGAATGTCTGTGGCCTAGTATCACAGAAATGTGGGGCTGCAAGGCACCTCAAGAGGTCATCTAGTCCGTCCTCCAGTGCTGAGGCAAGGGCAAGTAAACCTAGGTTGTCCCTGACAGATATTTATCTAACCTGTTCTTTAAAATGTCTAGTGATGTGGATTCTGCAATTTCCCTCTTCCACACTATTCAAGAGTTTAAGTACCTAAGAGTTAGAAACTGTTTGCTAATACCTAACCTAAATCTCCCTTGCTGCAGATTATACCCATTACTCTTTATCCTACCTTCAGTGAACATGAAGAAGAATCAACCACCATCCTCTTTTATAACATCCCTTAACAAATTTGAAGACTATCATGTCCGCTCTCAGTCTTCTTTCTCAAGACTAAACATGCCAAGTTTTTTAATCTTCTCCTCGTAGATCAAATTTTATAAACCTTTTATAATTTTTGTTGCTGTCCTTTGGACTCACTCCAGTTTGTCCACATCTTTCCTAAACGGTGGCACCCAGAATTGGACACAGTACTCCACCTGATGCCTCACCAGTGCTGAGTAGAGAAGGACAAAGTAGAGGAGCATCTTACATAGGACACTCCTGTTCATATACCCCACATATTAGCCTTTTTCTCAATCGCATCACTTTGTTGTCTCTCATTCAATTTGTGATTCATTATAGCCCCCAACCCTCCCTACCATCTAGCCAGTTAGTCCCCATTCTATAATTGTGCATTTAATTTTTTCTCCCTAAGTGTAGTACTTTGCACTTGTTTTCATTGAATTTCATCCTACTGATTTCAATTCTCCAATTTGTCAAGATCACTTTGAATTCTAATACAGTCCACCAAAGAGCTTGCAATCCCTCCCAGGTTGGTGTCATCTGCAGATATTATAAGCATACTCTCCACTCCATTATCCAAGTCATATTAATGAAAATGTTGAATACTTCTGGACCCAGGACAGTTGCCTGCAGGACTCCACTAGATAAATTCTCAGTTTGACAGCAAGTCATGGGTATCTACTCTTTGAGTACTTGTGGCACCTTAGAGACTAACAAATTGATTTGAGCATAAGCTTTCCATTCTATGCATCTGAAGAAGTGGGCTGTAGCCCACAAAAGCTTATACTCAAATCAATTTGTTAGTCTCTAAGGTGCCAGAAGTACTCCTGTTCTTTTTGCAAATACAGACTAACACGACTGGTACTCTGAAATTACTCTTTGAGTATGGTCTTTCAACCACTTACGTATCCACTTTATAGTAATTTCATCCAGACCAGATTTCCCTAGTTTGCTTATGAAAACATCATGGATCACTGTGCCAAAAGCCTTACTAAAATCACGATATATCATGTCTAGCACTTCCCCCTCATCTGCTAAACCAGTAAGCCTGTCAAAGAAGCAAATTAGGTTGGTTTGGCATGAATCTTCTCTATAAATCCATACTAGCTATTTGTTGTAACCCTATTATCCTCTAGGTGCTTACAGATCGATTGTTTAATCATTTGTTTCCAGTTTCTTTCTAGGTATTAAAGTTAGGTTGGCTGGTCTGTAATTCCTCAGGTTCTCTTTCTTCTCATTTTTAAAAATAGGTACTTTGATTGCCTTTCTCCCAGTATTCCTCCATTAGTTCTCAAAGATCATTGCTAAAGGTTACAAGCAGAAGTGAGATATCAGCTGCTATCACCCCCGCCTGTGGAAAACAGTGCCACTATTCAGAATAGTGGTTCTAAGCATTGTAGTGATACCCCTCTGAACTTCCCTCCCCTTAGTTCCATCTTACCCCTTTCCCCCCAGGGCCGAACTCACCACAACTGGGACTCCCGCTGTGCTGTGTGCCTGCCAAGGAGAAGTGAGAAAGTGGTGTTTCTAACTTGTTTGAATCAGGGCTGTGAGTGCACTCACAATAGTGTCTCTGTCTATTGTTTCTTTAGCTTCTGCAGATGTGCTCTTGATGGCCTCCTCCCGCACACCAGCTGAGCAGCTCTGGCAGCTAAGGAGACGAAACACGAGTAAGGAAGACATGTTCTGGGAGGTGATGCAATCTTCTGATGCTTCCAATTGCGAGCAGAGAGTACGGAGAGAGGCTATCAATGAGAAATGGTGTATGAATAGCCAGGAGAGGAAACAGAGGCAGGAGTGGATGATACAGCTGCTACAGGACCAAACAGACATGCTGAGGTCCCTGATTGAACTGCAGACGGAACACATCCATGCTTGCCTCCCCCTGCAGCCCATACAGAACTGCCTTTCATGCCCTCCTCACTTCCCCCCTCCACCTTCCTTGCATGTTCTCAAGCTGTCTCAGTACCCCATGCACCTCACCCCAAGGGACATGTATCACAATGACAGCTGGACATATACCCCCCCATGACAGCCTCATTTGAAAATGTGCTCTTAATTTTCATGCCCCTTGCAGAACATAGTAATGTGTCTATCACTATTGAATAAAAATGTCCATAGAGAAAGATAAGGAATCTTTATTTCTCCCCTACAAACGGTGATTGCTACTGAAATTCATACACAGGGGCAATCAGTGCATTTGCAGTGTAAAATTAACGCACACACAGCAATCATTACAAGGCTCATACTACGGTGCAAGAAAACAATGCCTGGCTAAATGCATTACAGACACATTACTGGGGCTCACTGTCAAAATGCTCCTTCAAGGCCTCCCTGATTCAAATATCCTCCCCCCCACACACACCCCATTGGCCCCTCTATCAGCCTTGGTATGTGGCTGCTCAAAATCAGCAGTCAGCCAATCCACCTCAACACACCACCCCTGAGGAAATTTCTCTGTTAGCTTCACATATGTTATGCAGAGCACACCAGGCTGCTATGACCATGGGAATATTTTCCTCATTGATGTCTCACTTGCCAAAAAGGCAGCACCAGTGACCCTTTAATTGGCCAAAGACACATTCAGCAGTCATTCTGCACCTTCTGAGCCTGTTGTTGAAGCGCTCCTTGCTGCAGTCAAGGTTCCCAGTGTAAGGCTTCATGAGCCACAGGAGCAAGGGGTAGGCTGGGCCTCCAAGGATCTCTATTGGCATTTGGTCTGGAAAGAAAGTCCCAGCTTGCAGCTTTCTGTACAGGCCAGTGTTCCTGAAGATGCATGTGTCATCCACCTTCCCTGACCACCCTGCCTTGCTGTCAGTGAAACAACGCTGGCGATCCACCAGAGCTTGCAATATCCTAGAAAAGTAGCCTTTTCTGTTGATGTACTCCTTCGCAAGATGATGTGGGGCCAAAATGGGGATATGCATGCCATCTGGCACCTCACTGTAGCTTGGGAATCTGTGACACTTTGAGGTACAGTGTAGCACCCTGTAACCCCCATATTCATCATTTGTATATGGTTATGATATTTCATAAAGCATGCCATATAAGATACCATATGAAAGGTCATGATCTGCTGAAACCCATCATTTTATCAAAATATGCATATCATTAGTGTGTATGAAGTTATGACATTTTGCTATATGGTTGTTACTGAATTATGTTGTGATTTTGGGAGTCATCCAGTGCTAGTTCTCCAGTGACAACAACGGAGGTAACCCGCACCCAGGCAGAGTGGGTTATGACCATTGACCAGAGGAAATTGTAAACAAGAGATCTACAATTCAATAAGTCAGTTGCACAAGCCCCACACAATGAAAATTGCTCAACTCTGACTCAGTTATGTAAGCACCACACAATAGGGATTGCTCAACCTGTGACTCTGCAAGGACATACCCACACCAGGACCTTTCCAGGGACATGGATTGAAAGAACACTGGGAAGACAAAGACTTGAACTGAGGAGACTGG